CTCTCCTTCGCCGACTAAAGCAATGAGGGAGTTTCTGGCATTTTGTAAGCATTTAAAAGGTGGGAGGGAAATAGAGGCTCCTAACTTATAGAGCAAATCTCGTCCTAACAGAGGAGTAGGACAGGAAGGCATAACAAGAAAGGAATGAGTAAACGGGATGCTTTGAAAGGTGCAGGCTACTGGGCCCATCTCTAAAGGCTTGAAGGAGGTTCTCATGACTCCAACTATGGAGACCTTGGCAGAGTATAAAGGCCACTGAAAGGAGGTGAGAACAGAGTAGGTAGCCCCCATGTCCACCAGGAAAGAGATGGACTTACCTGCTACCCACAGCTTAGCCCTGGGCTCGGTGAGGGTGATCGGGGTGTCCGAGTCCAGGTGTCTTCAATCTTCAAGGATGCCCAGCAGGTCTGAAGGGTAGTCCTTCGAGGGCATCTGCCCCCCACAGAACTCTGCCACCGGGGGAGGACCACCCTCTAGTGGACAGTCTACTTTCCAATGACCTCGCTTACCACAGCTGGGGCATGGTTTGGTCGGTTTGCGTGGGTTGGGGCACTTCTGTGCCCAGTGCCCTTCTTCGCCGCACCGAAAGCAAGGGCCCGGAGGTTCGAGTCGATCTTCAGGGACACCCCGACGATCCCTATGAGCCGGCCACAGAGCAGCTGTTATGGCATGAGTTTGTTCTGACATTCGGGCAGCTGACTTCTCGCTCTCGTCCTCTCAGGCATGAAAAACTTTAAATACCATATCTACCAGGTCTGCTAGAGGGGCTTGGGGACCATCTTCAGCCTTTTTAAGCTTGCACCTGATGTCAGGAGCTGACTGAGTTATAAAATGCATGGCCAGGAGAGAGGAACCTAACTCTGAGGCTGGGTCAAACTTATTGAAAGCTCTTAGAGTTTCTTTGAGGCGCTTGAGGAATTCTGATGGGTTTTCATCAGGTTTCTGGGTAATTTCTCTAAGCTTATCATAATTGATAGCTTTTTGGGTAGTAGAGTTCATACCTGCCAATAAGTAGCTAACCATGCGATCCCAGCAAGCTTCACCCTTGGGAGAATTATAATCCCACAGGGGTTCTTGTAGAGGAATAGCTTCTCTGCCCATATGTTCCCGCTCATCTGTGGCATGGGCCTCCTTGGCACAGTGCTATGCTGCTGATGTGACACGGTCATATTCCTCCGGGGTTAGAGTGGATTGGAGGACTACATGTACATCATGCCAGGTAAGCTCGAGTAAGATATTTAAACTGTTTAGCAAACATTACAGGGTTGGAGGAAAAGGATCCCAATCGCTGTTCTACTTGGGACAAGTCTGCCAGGGAAAAGGGAACATGAACTTGCACCACTCCTTCAGCTCCTGCTACCTCTCTTAGAGGAGCTATCACGTTGGCTTGAGACTGCTGTGACTTAGAATGAGTTACAGGAGGGCTAAACCATTTGGGCACCAGCTGCGGCGAGTAAGACGGTGGTGGATTTGGAGGAGGGGATGGAGGAGGCAACTTTCGTAGTGGGGGATACAACCTGGGAATTGGTGCAGAACTTGAAGGCAGGGGACTAGGATATGGGGGAGTTTTATCCGAAGTGGAGTCAGCACCTGTGGAGTAAAATGGTGGCAAGACTGGAAGAGAAGGAGAACAAGATGGAGGAGAGACCGGAAGAGAAGGAGAGCAAGGTGGAGGAGAGAAGGAGAACAAGATGGAGGACATGAACAATGAGGAAGGGAGCTGGCCCCCGGGGTGGGCCTGGAGGAGCTGGAAGGGGGGTAGCCGAGATCCTCCACCGAGTCCGTCAGAGAAGAGCCTCCCAGTAATAGGAGTGGTAGAGCTCGGCGGTCTTTGGCGGAGACCTGGGCCAACAAAACTTGGGAAGGAGAACACTTAACATATAGATCGGGACGGGTGCACAAAGTCCAAAAGGCCTGCACATATGGGATTTCACTCCACTTTCCGCCTCGGTGGCAATAATTAGTTAAGTCAGTGAGGAGGCCAAAATCAAAAGTTCACTCGGGGCCAGCGAGATTGATTGTCCAAGGGATACTGAGGCCAGGCCTGAGAGCAAAGGAAGACTAACTTCTGTTTGTGAATTTCCTGGGACAAATATAGAGTAGCCAGATTAGAAATGAGACACCGCAGTGGGGTCTGAGCCTCTGCTTTCAAGGACTGGTTCCCCATGTCTGCACCCACTTCCCAAAAAAAAATCCCACTGAGAGGAGTGCCTAGCATCCCAAGTGCACCAAGTCAGGGGAGACGGCCTGGGAGCCTGGGTGAGGGATGTCTCCCCACCGCAGGGCCAGGGGCAGGTATCCTGGATACTCGCAACGGATGGGCTGAATACCCAGACCTGGACATAGCTACGATTTCGGATGGACCAGGTGAAACGGAGTCAGGAAGGGAAGCAGACTGGGGGAAACTGAGGGACTCACCAGAAAATAGTCCATGCACTGGAGAGCAGGCTGAGGTCCCGGGTTGGGGAAGGAGGGGGCAGGGCTGCCAGTGGCTGGTCAGGGCCCCACACTCACACTCCTTCCCAGGTTTCGGTGCCAAATGTAAGATAAATTCTAGCCGAAATAAGCAGGCGAAGAGAGGCAACAAAAGGCCAGGTAGTTTATTTGAATGCAAACACCCCAGCGAGATTTCCCCAGTCTACAGAAATAGAGGCTGGGGAATTTGCACGCTTAAGCAGACAGGCAGCGAGTTTTTAAAGAAGGCAGGGGGAGGCAGAGCTTAGATTTACAGCGATGCGAGGATTGGCTAACGTAAGGCGCATTTTTCAGGTTGGGAGGGGGCAGCAGCCGGGGACTTTGACACGTCATCAGGGTCCAACATGGGAGGGGGCAGCAGCCAGGGACTTTGACACGTCATCAGGGTCAGACGTGCTTGCTCCTTCCGTCAGTGCTCTCAGCCTTACACAAACTATGAAGCAAAAGATGAACAATTAAAAAACACACAATATCACATTAGACTTTTGCAGTGAATAAAACATCCTATTTTCTGCAGTGGTTACAACAGCATTAAAAATATCCCAGGGTGGAGTGGGAATTGGGTGTGGTTAAAGACCTTAAAAAACTAGAAGTCCAAGCTGAGATGGGCAAGGAGAATGATACACATTAGTCTATGTGACACTCAAAACCCAGCAGTATTTCTGAGCATTGATTGAAGTCACGGGACGTGGTGCTCTGTGTGAATGGGTAGACTTCAGACCAGTCTTGCTTCATGTCCTGCCTCTACTCCTTACTAAGATATATGATCATATGACATGGTACTAGACCTTTCCATTTTCTCATCTGTAAGTGGAGGAGAATAATGGATATTTATGAGGATTAATTGAAAAAATAAATACTCAGGATTTGGAATAGGGCCAACACCACAGTAGCCATCAATAATAGTTACATGATTTCCCCAGTGTAGCAACCAAACCAATCATTTTTATGAAGGATAGGAATCAAACAACCTTTATGATACTATAGAGACTGATGATGAAACTTACATAAAGACTGTTTTTAATTTTTATATTTTACAGTCATTATATTATAGATGCAGTTAATTTAGGATGAAATTGTATGCTGACTGACCAAATAAAGATTAAATGATTCTTAACTTCATATATATAAATCAATTAATTTATTTCTCTTGGACAATAGCCCTTTGGAAAGAAAATGAAATAGCTGGATCCTACCTAATTTTACCGAAATAAAGTCCAATTAGAGTAAAGACTTTTTTTTTCATATTCTCTTCTTTTATTGAAGTATGGGTAATGTGTAATATTATCATTTCAGGTATGCAACATAGCAATTTGACAATTTATATACATTATGAAATTCTCACCATGATAAAAATGTAAATGTTAAAAGTAAAAAAAGTGAAGACAAAAAGATGTTGGAAGGAAACAGATATTTAAATATATTTTTTGAATGAAGACAGTTTGGCTATGCAGGACATAATGTCTAGACACCACAAATGTATACATTGATAAGTCTGACAACATAAACATTTCTAAATTTTATACTCCATATATAAAAACCCAAGTCAAGTAACAAAATAGAAGCATTCCTGGCAGCATATATGACAAGAAAATGGCAATTAGTATACAATAAGCTCTTACAAATAGAGTGCCAGCTTAACTTCAAAACTGGCAAAAGTAATATGAGTAGACTTCATAAAAAAATAAATGGAAATAGATAATAAATATTTAAATGAATGCTTGTTGTCATTCATAATTTCTAAAATGCAAATTCAAATAATAACGTGGCATTTTTTAACTACCATATTGTTAGGCAGCACTGATTTTATGTTTCATGATTTTGATGTGTGTGTGGTGAAGCACACACATCCATTCTCTATTGTTGGGGGTGTGTATTGCTAGAATAAAACTTGAAATATATATACCAAAATTTTAAATGTATATTTCCATTTCTAGTAATTTATTTACTGAACATTCTGGCACCAAGGCAAAGTATTATGTGTTCAAAAATTTTCATTGCAGGATTATTTACACAAGACTTTTTAAAAATCCTGAGTAAATCTAATGGTGCATAATGGAGAATAGTAAAATAAATAGGGCTAGTTATATCCTTAACATGGTATGTTCTTAGCTATTAAAAAAATTCTGAGAGAACTCTACTGTGCATATCTAGAATTATTCAAAATTATTTTGATATGTAAAAAGTAGTATGTACAGTTTTTACTGTAAACATCCAATTATGCAAAGCAAAATAACTATAAATATGGATAGAGGGTATGTATAGATATTTTTTTCTGGAAAAAAGTCAAGAAAGAAATGTTAGGAGTCATATTAGGGATTGTGAAATAGGGGAAAGAAGGTATAAGACTTTTATTTAATGCTTCCCTGACTGTTTGAAAGTTCCTCTATGCTCATGTATGTTTTACTTTAATTTTAAGAATTAATACAGTTAATAGGGTGCAGTTAAGGGAACTGTCAAAACTTGACTTTTTTGGAATGAAATGATGTATTCATTGGTGCTTAATGAGTTTCATTTTCCCCCAGACAAAGTCAAAGGAAGATCAAGAGCGGGGACCCACTTTGACTCAGCCCGGAGACGGAGCCGAGCAGTCCTTTATCACATCTCTGGGCACCTGCAAAGAAGAGAAAAGAACAAATTGAAAATAAATAATGTAGGTGGTATGTGTGTACACTATGAATGCTAGTTTCCCCTGGTGGCAATATTTGACTTGCTAAAGAAAGGCTCCAATTATTTATTGGCTTTCCTAGATGTACTTTTTCCCACTTTGGCTTGTGCTTTCCTATAAAGAACACACTGGAAAAGGTCAGCAGTCATGAGGCATTTCTTTAATAAAAGTGCTTAATCATAGTGTTATCACGGCATAGAGATTAGAATATTATTGCAGTCAGTACAATATGGTACTAGGGACACGGCAAATGGGGACATACTGGTTACATTTTATGAACAAGATGATGCAGCAAGTCATATTACACATTCATAGTTTGTTGGTTAAAATTTCTCAAATTTAATTTTGGTTCCATGTATTTTGCACTTCATCTCATTTCCCTGAATGCTTTTATCCAGGAGGACCATAAACAAATCAAAATCATTACCCCACTTGAAAATTTACATCGTATACAAAATACAGTTGGAAATTTCACATTGTGGAACATTGGATTTGAAATTACATGCCGTCCACTCACTATACAGTTCTGTAAAAAGTCATACTTAGTAAATTACACTAAGGCTGCTTTCTGAAACCTGGTGCTTATCTGTCAAAAGCCACAGCCAATACCTGTGCTTATAAAAGTGGATTCTTTGCAGTTTAACATGACATACATCATCCAGGATTTCATGCTTAATTTTATAATTTGTTCTTAGCACTAAGAGACTTCACAAGAAACCCAGAAGTATGTCTGTTCAGTTGTAGATACTCAAAGATAATTTTTCAAATGATGGTAATGTCACTAATTTGCATTGTGGAATCTTCAGAACACAGTTTTGGCTGAGGTGTGTGTGTGTGTGTGTGTCTGTGTGTGTGAGAGAGATTGGGTGGCAGACATAAATACTTAGGGTCTAACTTACCAGTGACATTAGAAAAAGTAACGTCAAACAACCAGAGCTATTTTGGAATCGTTATAAGATCCAGAAGTTCTGGAGTTAGGGACATGAGGGAGATTTTTTGTTATCTTACTTTTTACATGAAAAACTCAACAAGACTACCTAATATGACATGCAAATGCTTTGATAAAATAGTCATGCATCAGACTTAGCTGATTTTAGTAAATAAAGATGGATGCATGAGCTCTGGTGTGGAGCAAGATCTAGTGTGAAAGGCTACATATCTGGTTCTGCTTTCAGAGTGTGATTCCTCTCTGGAAGGCAGATCAAGCTCTTTTGATCCATTTGTGCTCCAGGACCACCACCCTAGCTGGTGATCTGTCGTGCACTGCTGTAAAGAGTCACAACCTGCTTAGTCTGTCCTGACTTAACATACATATTTTGGATGGATCCCTTTGCCTTAATATCACATTGATTTCCTGAGAGTCCAGGGATAGACTTGAAACAGTGCACCTGATCTATGGAACCCCCCCCCCCACCCGGTTCCTGTTTATATCACCCTTCAGTTACCCAGTGGGCCTTAGTGACAGTAAACAAATTCTAGGAAGAAACAAAGGTAACCACATCTGCCCTTGATTCTATGCAAGTTAACCAGCAAAGCACCTAAATAAATATTAGACCGAAATTCTGTAATGCTGAAAGCTGACACAGTCTTTCAGCTTTGGTTAAGAATCATTTAAACATAGCAAGTACTACTGAGTTTCAACGTGCATTTGAAGAACATGCTGTTTTTCCCATTAAATTCAACAAAGTACAGAACAGGGCTTTAAAATGTGATTTAACAAGTCCTAATTCCCATCTCTTAGCTAATTTGTAAATTGACAATCATTTAAAAAGTACAAAATCAGGAAGGAGCATTAAAATAATTCATAAAAATTAAGGATGTCTAATCACACAGTGGCTCTGGCAATACAGCAAACATCTTCCTTTTAAAAGTGAGTGTGGAATTAGGACTGGCCCTGTTCACAAGCTCCTCCTTCAAGGAGAGCCGAGACAGTGGCTCAGAGACAGCCGGAAGAGAGAAGGAAGAAGAGAAAAAGATGATCTGGGTAATTTACTAGTTAAATAATTGATCTTTGGGGAATTCTGGTTGTAACTTTCATATACATACACAGAAAAACAATTCTCTATATTTTTGTAGCTATTTGCTATTTGCAGATATATTCTATTATGTCATATTACTTGATTAGTACAGTAAACCAGTACTAGATGTGACTTTAATTGGTTCCATTTTAATAATGGAAAAAAACAACTTACTAAGACCTCAAAAGGAAAAGCAGCAGAAGTGAGACCCAGCTGGGGATTTTCGACTCAAAGCCACTGTTTTTGCCCCTTCCTTGCTGCTTCTCAGGTACAGTTCTGTGGGATTGGAATATATGCTTCATCCATAGACAAATGCACTCATTAGGCCAACCATAAGTTTTGGGAATCAGGGTGTAACACGTTGGAGTATTGGTTCTAACTTTGCCTGGTACAGCTTGGAAAAGGTGCTTATTTTCTGCTTTCTTCCATCTGTTGCTTTATTAAATGACATTGGGATGCTACGGTGTCTCCAACATAAAGCAGTGTATAGGTCACCTTAGAGCCTCGGGAGCTTGAGAGAAGAGTGCTCTAAATGCCCAAACATTACCAGCAACAGATACTGGTCCTGCAAAGCATATACTACTGGGGTTACTTGGTGTACGGACTTCAGGAACATTTTCCTATCCCTTTGCTCATTCCGAAGTTAGTTTCAAAGAAATGTTTGAACAATGATTTAGTAAACAGTTACCTTAATTAGGCTTGATCTTCACCATTATGCTTCAACGATTCTTGGGGTTGAGGTTGAACAGCTAAAACACCATTGGAACTAAACAATGTGCTTCAAAGTTAATAAATAATATATAACTAAAATTGAGAATAGTTGGTTATATTATTCTTTAGGCAAACTATATGTTCTAGGATTATCAATAGTATGTCTAATTTCCCCCTACTTACTAAAAACATACTTTCCAATTATAAGAACTTTTCTCCCACGCAAAAGGTTTTTGAAAAACTTTACAAATACAGTGTGGGAAGATTGGGGCATCTACTTTTTCTCAGGTGATTACATGCAGGATTTGAGTTAAAAACTTTGCACCAGTTAAATGTAATCTAAGATGTATTGAATTCTCTGTATCTTTTTAAATAATGTTAAGTATTATGTTTTAAGTAACCTATAAAAATGAAATAGTGTGATTTATTTTCTGACTTACGGAGATGACTTATACATTTCTGACCTTGTGCATCAACATCACGAATGCTTCATGTGATCAGCATAATCCTAAGAAAGTACTTTACTTTTTGAGTTTTCCCCATTCCTGTCTCCAAGAGCTGGCTTCTCCCTTGAACAGGGTAAAATTTTAATTTCTGTAACATGATAAGAAAAGACTCATTTGGATTGAAATTGAGGTCTTCCTCTATGACTTCTTGTTTTGTCTTAAATTTGAAAAGAATTTATATTAGAATCCATCATGTCCTATTGTAAATGCATGTGCTTATCAACTTCAAGGTATTGATACTAATGGAGCCTAATTCTCTCTTCCCCAAAGCACCAGTCTAGACTTGAGAGAGAATCCCCACTGGTGTACTTCATTCTCCTCCTCCATTTTATGCCAAAGTCCACCTTTGGAACTTGTTCTAGAAACCAGAGAACAAGGCAAAAGAAGATGGCCAAGTATCAGGGAACTGAATGGAACATAGACGCAGTGGCAGATGGGCATCAAAGAACCTTCTGGAAGTAGTGAAGCAGCTCCTCACCATGAAATCCTGGCACTGTGAGGTGCCTATGTGGGTTGAGTGAGAATGAGACTATTAACAGGAAGTGAAAACATGTGCTGGGCATGCCTACCAAGGACAGAAGCAAGAGAAGGGGGTGTAATTAATATTAGGGAGCAGAAATATTTGGTCACTGATAGTCACCACTAAAGGGCTCGGTGTTCCTGTTGCTCTGAACCTTTCTTGAATCCTCAGTGCCTTCAGGAATCCCTAAACACACCACATTAATTTGCCCTTCACTCAATTCAAGTTCACTTTCAAATTTAAGTTTCCATTACCTATCTTGTATTTCTCATTAATTGAGGTCAAGTGAGGCCTGCAAATATCTGGTCATAAGCTTGTCAAATTCCAATCACACTATTGTTGGGCCTCCCTCTGTCTCATGGCAACGAGGAGACTTGTTTGTCCATTTGGACCGCTTTCAATGTGAAGTGCTTTTGCGGTCATAAAGACTCCAGCTATTCTGCATTTAATCTGCTGCACAGTGAACATTGCCTTTCTCCTCCCATGACTCTTACATAACTGCTTCTCACTTTGTCCTAAACAACGGCTAGCTAGTGTCAGGATAAAGCCATGTCAATCAAGGTTATGAGATTTGGGTTCCCAGCTTGAAACTTCACAATGCAAAAATACAAACAGCACAACCTGGTTATATTTTGAAAGAAATGTAACAGCTGTTAAAATAGAATGTTGATCATATAACTATCCCTTCTAGAAAAAATAAATGGTGCCTTTGTTAATATAAGAAGAATTTCAGATCAAACACATTCTTTAAATAATGACTGTCATCTTAAACCTATAAATACAGGGAATGTGCCCCTGATAATTAGAATGTGAATGTATCTTTGTGTTTATAATCTGTGTAGGATTATATTTGCAACTGTGGATATTTTCAGGTTATACATTAGGTAATACTTTTTTTATGCTTAATGAGCAAAATCTGGATTTCTCACTTATCATTCAACTGATTAAACTTTGCATATTCCCATTTCTTGTAACAAAGACTACTACTCCATTTTAGTATATACATCTCTACTTTTTGTGTCACCAACTTCTGAATGTCACTGTGAGATACATTGGTATCATATGTATGAACGATCCTCCACAAGAGAGTGTGTTTAAGGCTGTCTGATCCTTCTGTCTAATGGTATGTCTCCCTTCTCTCCTTTTTGTCTTTATTCACAGAATGTTTTTGTAGATAAACCAGCATTTCCGGAGTATAAAGTTTCTGATGCAAAAAAGTCCAAATTCATACTTTTGCATTTTAGCACTTTTAAAGCTGGCTGGGACTGGCTTATTCTATTGGCGACGTTTTATGTTGCCGTGACCGTACCTTACAACGTTTGCTTTATTGGCAACGATGACCTGTCCACAACGCGGAGCACCACAGTCAGTGACATTGCGGTGGAGATTCTTTTTATCATAGGTAAGAAGTGGCACTGGCTTTCCTGGGGGATTTGCATAGGGGAAGCAAGTGTATTCCATATTTTCCTGACACAAATTTGAACTAAGAGCCATTTGCATGGGCGTGACTCAGCCTCTGATGCACATTTTGGAGAAGCACACATTTTTCTGAATTTTTGATTTCTGAAAATGTCTCTTCCAGCTTTCTCACCATTTCTTAATTCAAACAGATCTAAACCCAGATTTTGTATTATATCCTTATTTTGCCAAAAGTGGTCTAAAAAGACTTAATGGCTGTTTTGTTTGTACTATTACACAATTTTAGCTGTGCAAGGTCAAAGATGAGGCTTCGCAAAAACTCCACTAGTGGTGTTCGGACAGGGGTCCAGTCCTGGGCATGGTTTTCCCTGCCCTTCCTTGCTGTTTCTGCATTCTGATGGCCGTTGACATGGGTGGCAGTTTTGCAGAAGCAAAGGATTATTTAAGTCTTCCAGTCAATCAGGACATGCAATGAGGATCTGATTGCAACTTAAGAAGCGGCAGCATCAAGGCATGTTCGCTTAATAAGAGTATTTATAGCTAGAATATTGGGAAATTCCTCTGAAGCTGCCTCTGCCTAATTCTTGTGAGCCTTTTTTTCTATTTTCCTGGCCCCTAAATCTTGTTTAGACCCTTGCTTGCTCATTCTAAGGGTTCTAGATCTCCATTAAGGATTAGATTGACTCCCTGTGGAGTCTCTTCTTTTTTTTTTTTTTTTTAGATTTACAGGAAATTACAATGATAATACAGAAATGTCCCTTGTACCTTTCATTTATCTCTGTGGAGTTCTTAACCATCATTAGGAACCTGATACCGGCTTTTTTCCTGGTCACTACCTTACGGGGCAACATCCTTATTGTAAAGATGAGAGAATGTTTGGAAAATGTTTTCAAGCAGGAAGGTGAACAAGAGAATGAGAAACAGATCTTAAAAGTTCAAAGAGAAAGAAAATAGTAAGTGTGGCGGATCAAATCTCATTTCATTGGTGGTGGTACCTTTATTTCTGTGGAACTGGTAAAGCTTTGGGGCTCGAGTGGGTTGTCTGTGAATGTCAGCATGTGCTTACTCTGGGTGAGTCGTTTGTATGCTCTTGGTGTAGCTTTGGCACCACTACTAACATTGCATTTGCTGGGCACACCCCTCAGAGTTACATTAGGACCCCTGTTCCCACCCCAAAAATGGTGGCTTTAGTAAATTTAGGCCACTAGATGGCAATGTTGTCTAGTTAGGTAGCTTGATTACGACTACAAACTCAAGGGAATTTACTTTCTTTCTTTCTTTTTTTACTTAAACTATTCCTTAGTGGAAAGGTATAACCATACAGGAATATTAAATGACTGTTAAATGGACAATAACAAATTCCAGTTTGAAAAAGAACTTAAAATAAAAACCGTAGCCACATTGAATGTGTCCATACGCCAGTCCATGGTGGTTTTACATCCTTGCACTTTGCTAACCTGTGATGTCTTCTTTCAAACACACACAGATTAGCACTCTAGAAAGACTCCCCATGCCTTGGTCAAGTCCTCAGTAACATGTCTAAGCCTGAGTTTCTACTTAACAACATTCCATATTCTATATTATTATTATTTAAAACTGTCATAGGGACAAGTTTATACCTTGAACTTTCTTCTCCACTCCTCCTGGTTCTTAGATATTTGAAATTAAAAGGGCTTAGAAACCACTTCTGGTACTACATGCTCACTGGCAGTTGATGACTTATTTATGCTCAGAAATGACATCTATGAGAAAGATATTGTATACATCGTTATCTCTTTCTTTCTTAGACTGCTTCCTCTACTAAACCAACAGAGTCTGGCATGTCCCCTGATAGTTGCCTCTAAATCTATGTTCTTTCTTACTGCCATTTCTACTGGGTTCCAGGCAGAAAGATGTTCCTCTAGGTAGTCAATACCCATCCCTTACTAGCTGCATGACAAAAAAAAAAAAGGAAACCCAGCCCAGTTTCTATTCAGTTTAACATCCCCAAAGATTACTTTAGAATTTGAGACTTCAGTTTGCTAACAGTTTTAGTGTGACTCCAGGGCAGGAATTTTTATTTTTATAAGCAGGGAAAACTTTCCTGCTCTTTCCTAATGCTATCCTCCTGTCTTTTCTTATTTTAAATAAGTTTAAACATATCTACAATTTATTATAACATATTTGGGAAAACAGTTCTAACTAAAATTTATCAAAGGATGTTTCCTAGAACCTTTATTCTATGACATATTTCACAAAAGCAGCCTACAAATAATCATTGAGAAATAAGCTAAAATACTAGGAATAGGAAAGTGTATTGTCTGTAATACTGTCTTTTTATGATACTAAAGCAGCGTTTTACCACTTAACATTTATTAAATTGGTATGTGTGGTAAAATCCATATGTATAATTAAACCCTATTTGTTTTCTATTCATAGAATGGTGTTATTAAATTGTTATCTTATAATCAACAGGGTCAGAATTGTTGAAAACTAGTTTAAAAAGAGGTTTGGGAAGGGAAGGTTCCAAATAGAAAAAAATGATGCTTTCACAATATTTCCTGTTTGTGCCACTCTGTCCAGATGTAAAGTGATACGATTGTTTTCTTAATAATCAATGGGAAAAAAAGCAAGTGGAAGAAAATTAAATGTTCCATGAGAAAAGAATATATAGTCAAAATCAAAGCTGGGGGAGAATATGTCTCTTTTGGAGATTCACAAAGCACTTTCACATTATAAATCCTCTGAGAAATTCAGCAATAAAGGAATCTGTTTCACTGTGATTAATCTGGAATCTCCTAAAGTAATTTTGACCTCAGGACTCATTCCTCCTTAGACCACCTAGCAACACTCTTTTGGGAAGATGTACTTAAAAACATTCTTTCCTGATAGAGTCACTGTAAAAACAGTATCTGAGTGTAATTATGCTAGCCAACACAGAAATATGAATGGTGAGCTTGAGTCTCCCCTAACTACTCTCTGTCTTAAAATAAATTGTAAGCCACACTAGTTCTTTAGTATCAACAGGGCACAAGGTTTGGCTATACATTACAAAGTGGCTATTAAGATTACTTTTACTTTAAAAACTATCACATATAATTTAGCTGCTGATTCAAAGCCTTATGGAAACTTAAAATGAGAAGTGACCTATTGGTAATCTATCTAATCCAATCTTTCTTATGTTATAGATGGGAAACTGAGCCCTTACGATATGCCCAGGACCCTGTAAGGGACTGATGGCAGACTCAGGTCCCCTGGTTGTTGGATTAGGTTTCTTGAGTTCATAATCAATATTCCATTTTTTGAAGAATACTCCATTCAACTGGCTTTCTTTTATTTATAGCAATGAGGTAGAAAAAGAGAGAAACAAGTGCCAACTTCCTTGTCTTTTTCTATGAATACAGAAATGAATACCTTGAACTCTGAAATTGTCATAGTAAAACTGTAGTATATCCAAAGGGTCTAACAACCACTTCTCCCACTTCCTTACTATAAACCCAAAAACCCCAGTTTTGTGCAGACAGCAGTGGCCCAGACCCAGGGCATGAATTGAGTGTTCTAAACTAGTGGAGGTCCCTCCCCATGAGCCAATCGCCAGTGCAGAGGTATGTGACCATTCTGTCCAATAAAGTACAAAGAGACGTTGCTGGGGGAGCTTCCTGGGAATCATTTTTTCCCCCTGAAACAAGAAAAGAAGGGAAAAATATTTGTGTTCCTATTCCTTTCTTTCCCTTGGTGTGTGAGTGGAAGAATGTAATGTGTGTAACTACTGCAGCCTGAATCGTCAGGAGAGACAGAGGAGAGAAGAGGTGGACGGCAGAGCAGTAACTTGAGAGAAAGTTGCCCTCTGGATTCCTTATCAGGCAATGTCATATGTTCCTGTTACTGGAACCATTGGGAGTTGCACGTCCTGTTACTGATAGTTGTATCATTCTCATGACAAAATTATGGCTCTATCATCTGTGACTCCTTGCACTGGGCCATTTCAGAGGTTCAAAGATAAATCATTTCCAAAGAAACAGAATCTTCTGTCCTGTTATTCCATTCTAAGCCTATCTAGGAAGTGGTTTGCACATACTTCTTATCCAATATTACAGTCACAAAGGCTTAGAATCTCAGAATGTGCCATAAAGCTGCAACTCTGATTGACTTGATTTCTCTAAGAATTCCTCAGAAACCTAAAGGTCTAAGCAGTTACACTTTCTGTTTATTCTACCTTGATCCTAATCATAAAAGGACACTTGAGAGTAGTGTGGGATGAAGACAGTTGTACACTGTATAAACCTTGATGTCCAGGGCTATACATCTAGCATCCTTACCCCCCAGCCCACCAGCAATGCTCCCCAGATATTATGACAACCCCAAACACCTCATACATATTCAAAAGGCATTTTTTCCCAGTGTTCTACTTTTAAGTTGTACTCTGTGTTAACTGAGGTAGTTCTAGTTCACTGGTTCACAGCGGGCACAATATCACACACAGGGGATATTTTACAAAGGTGAAAGTTTGATTTTAATTCATTAATCAGCACTACCATCATTTGGTGTTTATTTAGTACTTTTAGATCACCATTTATGAATCTTCAAATGACTTTGCCCCAGCTAATGAACAGAATTCCTCTAAGTGCAGTATTTCTTATGAACATGTATTTATGCTTCCAACATTTCTGATTATTTTCTAAACCTGATACCGGCTTTTTTCCTGGTCACTACCTTACGGGGCAACATCCTTATTGTAAAGATGAGAGAATGTTTGGAAAATGTTTTCAAGCAGGAAGGTGAACAAGAGAATGAGAAACAGATCTTAAAAGTTCAAAGAGAAAGAAAATAGTAAGTGTGGCGGATCAAATCTCATTTCATTGGTGGTGGTACCTTTATTTCTGTGGAACTGGTAAAGCTTTGGGGCTCGAGTGGGTTGTCTGTGAATGTCAGCATGTGCTTACTCTGGGTGAGTCGTTTGTATGCTCTTGGTGTAGCTTTGGCACCACTACTAACATTGCATTT